ATATGCATTAATAAACAGTACTTTACACATAAAAAGTGGTTTTTAAGAGTTTTTGTCAAATGTTTTATAATATAGTATAGATAAACAAACATAAACGAATGGAAATAAACATAAACAAACATAAACGAATGGAAATAAACATAAACAAACAGAACAAATATAAACAAAAACTTTCACAAACGTAAATATACGAGACCATTGTTCATGTTCGTTCAGTTAATTAAACCAACAAAAATGTATGTTCATATTCATTTATCTATATCTATACTATATTATAAAGCATTTGATAAAAACTCTTAAAAACCATTTTTTATGCATGAAATATTGTTTATTGATGCATATTATTTAAAATTCAAAATTACAAGTAAATGGTGCATACGTACAACTTACTAAAGCTTCGTGTTTGAATTCGGGTAACTAACTACAGATAAACATAATCAAACAGAGGATAAACATCTCATTTTAAATATAGAAAATCTAAAATATAATTAGGATAAACATTGAGTTCTAACAAAATATTTAATTATAATCTTTATAAAAAAAGTATAAAACCAAAACTAAAAAAATGAATTAAAGAAATACGCAAAAAAAGAAAAAAAAAATTAAATGCTTAGTTTGGTACTAATATCAATTTTTTTTCAAATTTTTATGATATCTTCATATTTATATTTTATTCAAAAATAAAAACATTATTGTTTTCTCAAAACCACATAAAACCGTATTATAACATCGACTGAGACAAAAATAAATAAAACGAAACATTAAAATTGAGATGTATCTCGCTGTATTGTGCGAGTACCTTTCTAGTTTATATATTAAGTAAACGGACTTTCCACCAAACAGTTTGCTAATGTTCGTCTCTTTTACGTCCCTATATATATTGTTAAATGCACCCTATCTATGAATTTTTTTCCTTACACGTATTAACATCAAGATAGACTTATTTTTTACATTCTTAATAAATTATTTGATTTGGTTCTGAATCTGACCCAAAAAAGGTGCACATTGCAACAACCTACACCGGAGGCTAGGTGGTCGTTTACCAAATCCTTACGAAATATTACTTACCTTCCGAGTGAGTATGTTAAGCACCCAAAATCTTATATGTTAAAAGACATAACAAAACCCAAATATCTTACCAGTAAATGGAAAAAAAAAACTCTTAATTATCCAGCAAGCGCTTACATGACAAATCAAAAACGCTTATCAATAATCCATTTTGATGTTCTAAAAATGTTACCCGATAAAGTAAGTCATGATCGTGGGGTTCAGTAAACCGTCCATAAAAATATACACCCATTATTTGATTTACACATATCTACTTATTAATAGAGAAATTGGCTATAAAAGTCATTCATCTTACATAAATTCGTCTCCTATCCATTCACCTCCTTGATTTAACCAAATATTACTACTTCCAAATTCTCACATCCACCATTTGTGGACTTACTAATAGTTCTATTAAGAGGCAACATCTGAATCGTTAAGAGCTGAATCTTGTTTGACAAAAAAAAATTCATCTTAATGATTCTAAAACCCTCTGAATGATTTTGTATATTGGATCTCTGTTAACCATTAAGAACCCTAATTTCATTGCACACAATTACCAAACAATTATATTTCATTTTACACTATATCATGAGAGTCTCGCTTAATCATTCTGCACCAAACCATTCAGCAATTTACAACTCCCATTAAACACTAACATCGATTTCTTTGATTATCTATGCTAAAAAAAGTAATTAATATTATATAAATAAATCCACTAAATTATCAACAAGACTATAAAATTTTGTTTCTTGAGACCCATAAAAACCCTAAAATATAATAAAATTGTAGTAAAAATCCATTTAATTACGAGCTCCGGCAAGTGATCGATGCAAAAGAAGCAAGCTTTTTCTTTAATAAAGTGGCGAACGTGGCAGAGCTTGCCGTGGTGTAGGTGCCCATATGACATCAGAAGGCGGTTGACAGTTGTACATCGATACTGAATCCGCCGCCGTTGACGGTGCTGCATGACGCCGTCCACCATCTACGCCACCTGAAACAGAAACAGACCCACCATTGGAACTCCTTATATGCTCATCTTTTTCTTCTTCCATTGGTAACCGGTGGTAAAGTGGGTTGTTGAAGGAAGCCGCCACGAGGTAAACAGTTCCGACGGCTATGAGCGGACCAGTGACGGCGCCACCGACCGTCTGCCCTTGTGGACCAGCTAATGATATGGCGAACCTGTTAGCAAACGGTGTCATCACGGCGGATGGTGGAGATGTCGACGAAAGTACGGTGGCGGAGATTGATAGCAATTCGAAACAGCCGTGGAAGGTGATGGTGGTGGTGGGTTGTCGGAAGGAGACACTGGAAACGGTGCCACACCCAGATAACACACAGAGACCAGTGTTACGGTGGTTGCAGAAGCGTGTGACGGCGGCGATGATATCCAATCCACCGGGAACCTCCAGGACGTATGGTGACATCAAAGAATCGGGTTCTTGGGTGATGAAGGCCACCAGTGGTTGTGGTTTGGGTTTGTTTCTGGATCCCGGTGGACGGCCTCTAGGTCGCCGGACAACCTCAATGGAAGCACCATCATTGGTGGTGCTGAATTCTTTCTTGTTGTCAGCTTCGTCGGAGGTGGTGGTGAGGTGGTGGGAGACGGCGAGGAGAGGTGGTGGTCGGTGGTGGTGGTGGTGGGTGGAGAAGATGGCGGGTAGAGAATCTTTATCTCCAAATTCTGCTTCCATCTTTCAAGATTGTGTTTCTTGAAAATTGGCTTGTTTTTCAAGATGTTTCTAGATAAGGAGGGACTATTGATTTCATAGATGGGATTTGGAGTTATCTTTACAAATGAAGTCAATCATTTACGGGCCTCCAACTATTACATTTTGACTTTTTTTTTAATTTTAATTTTAATTTTTAATATTTAGATCTCGATGGGTATTTTAATTATATTTTTTTTTTAGAAAAGAGAGAATTAAAAGTTAAAATTTATAAGTATAATTACTTTTAATTTCAATAGATTTCTATTTTAAAGATTTAAATATAAATTATATTATTATTAGAAGGGTATTCGTACAAAACAGTAAGATATATTTCTATTTTAATGTTTTATTTTATTTTTTGTCTTTGTCGATGTTATATTACATTTTTATGTGTTTTTAAGAATGAAATAATGATTTTATTTTTGAATAAAATATAAAATTGAAGATATCATAAAAATTTGAAAAAAATATATCAATGTTAATATCAAATCAACTATTTAAAAGTTCTTATTTTTTATGTAATTTTTTT